CAAAAAAAAAAAAAAATAAAAATCAGGATTTATCCAAAGCCCAGCTTGTATTTTCAGTTTTCCAGGACGGATTGCACCAATTTCTACCTTCGCAACCAGCCCGGTGAGCCCATCCACCCCACCCACCGCGGGGTTCCCGTCTTTATTCCCCCAAAAAAGAGGGACGTAAAGGGGAAGGAGGTATTGGGGGAGTTGGAGAAGAGGTTGGCCATCGCTCCTACCTGCAGATCGAGGGCCTTGGAGGAGAAGGCGGGCATGTGGCAGGAGAGGATGGGGCACCAGAAAGGAGCTTTGCTCTTCTTGTCTTCGTCGGGACAGAGCCAGCCCGGCTGGTTCTCCTCCCCTGCGATGAGCAGAGGAGATCGAGGACGGCCGAGACATCCCCCAGCATCTCTCCGTCCCCAACGAGACCCCAAAATTAGTAATTTGGGGCGCGGTGCTCATCTCCAACCCCAAACCGCCATCATCTGCAGACTTTGGGTACGTCTCACCCCTTTCCTCCAAACTAGCGCCCCCCACCGCAGCACGCGGCCACGCGACCGCCTCGAGTGGCGGCAAGAAAAAAGCCCCCAAACCCAAATAGTTTATATATAAAGGGGGGAAAAAAAAAATAAAATACATCCTAATGTGTTTCTTCACATTAGGCTTTAATGTGTTTTCATTTCTAACTCATGGATATAGGATTATCCCCTAGGCATCCCAGATTAAAAAAAAAAACAACCCAAACCAGCCACATAAACTGTTAAAAACAAGAGAATCAAAAATCGTTCCAGCCTGGGGAGATCTGAGCACTCCAATAGGATTTCAAATTTTTTTTTTTTTTACTTTCTTCCATTAAACTTTTTTTTTTTTTCCCCCTGCAGCAGCTGGTGGCTTTAAATAGGAACAGGGACAGGGAAGTGGCAGCAGGGCCAGCTCCTCCCTTGCTTATTCATCCCGTTTAATGGAAAACGGGTCAGCACCGACACCGTCGGCACGAGAGGCAACGGAAATCCAAAGCCACACGGCGCCGTCCCAGAGATGCCACGCAAGAGCAGCGAAACACAAAGCTTTTTGAGCCAGAATTACCAATTCCCATCATTTCCAGAGTGCAAACCCCCAGAATGTTCTCCATCCCCTTCCTCTGCGCTTTTTCTCCTGCCCCGTTTCGTGTCATGATGTTCTGAGCAAAGCAAATCCCCCCTCTGCTCCCAAATTTGGCTTTTCAAAGCAAGGGTGGTGGCAACCAACATGCCGCAGGGCTACTCACGCAGTCCTATCTTGGCCAAGTGCAGGCGGTTCACCCAGGAGATCTTGCTCAGGGGGTTTGGGGTGATGAAGACCACCATGACGCTGATGGGGCGGCCAGACCTGCGCAGGGAAAGCATCGCCAGGTCCATCTTCAGCCTCCTCCTCCTCCTCCCTGGGGTGGGAAGAGCCCACCCATGACCTGCAAACTCACTTGTCCGGCTTCCCAGGCAGCAGGAGACGGAGGCGGCACTTGTTGGCGGAGTGGATCTCCTCCTCCTTCACCTTCATCATCCTCTGCAGGGCCAGGCACCAGTCCTGGGCCACCGTCATGTTCAGGTTCTGGGGAGGAAAGTCGTAGATCATGGAAGCGACTCCAAAACAAGCCTGAATCGTCCCCAAAGTTCCCCCGTGGGGCTCTGGAGGATGAGGTGTCCGGCCGTCCCCAAGGAACCCAAGCAAAGCGCCCGAGCTCGGTTCCACCCAAATCCTACGTCTGCCCATGCTTTGGTACGTAGGTACCTGGTAGGTGCCATGCAAGGTGCTGATGAGAAGGGTGATCTGCTCCACCACCGCCAGGTCCTTCTGCAGGTCCTGCAGCTCCTGGAAGAGCCGCGGTGGCCCCAGGTAGACTTTATCTTGGGTGGAGAAATGGAGAAACGAGGTCCATGGAGGATGCTCCATCCCACCCCCACCGAAACCAGCTCAACACGGGATGGAGGGACGGGTGCTCACTGTGTGAAGCCTGCCCGGCTGGCACGTGCTTCTTGGCGCCGGCGTTGTGGATGACGACGTTGTCCTTGTCGTAGGCGCCGCTCTCCTGCCCCACCTCCACCACCTGTACCTGTGGGAGGGCCGTGCTCCACTTCACCACGTATTTGGGACCCAAGGGCACCAGGCTGCTAATTTCCAGCTGGCCTCTGCCGAGGGAGGATGCAAAAAAAAATCGCCGTAAATAAATCAGCGGGCGCGAGGGCTCGCCCTGCACCCTCTTGCAAAACGCGTTTCGCACGCCCAGCCCCGTTTGCACACACACACACACACCCCCCGCCACCCCCATCGTGCACCAGTGCATGCCTGCACCCCCAAACACGGGGCACGCAACCACAGCACCCCACACTCGGCACCTACCCTGGGTTCACCGGCCTGGAAGAGGGGAGAAACGGTTACTAACGAGGTACGATGGGAAGCTCAAGGAGGTTTTGGGGTTTGGTTTGGGGTTTTTTTTTCCCCTTCGCGGCACCAATCTCCACCAAGCCCAGAGGGTCCCAGCAGGCTCCCGGCCCCCGCACCGACCCGGGGACCCCACAGCACCAGGGGACGGAGGTTTTGCAGGGAGACATGCTAAAAGCGGGGGGCAAAGCAACCCCAAACCGGGTGGGTTCCCCCTCCCAAACGAGGTGGGGCAGTTTTAAAAGCCTTTGGGGTAGAGCTAGCAAAACCCACTGAGCCCAAAATCCAGGCGGGGAAGGGGGAAGGTCGCCACGCCGACGCTCCG